ATGATAGAGAGGAAAGGGTTTTTAGCAGCGCTATGATATAATCATTTTACAGATGTCTCTTTGCTTGCCACTTAGAAAAATATCATACCTAAGGCAAATGATGCCGAAAAATTTTATAGGCAACTCTTTTTTGTTTGTTCCGAACTTACGCTAAATACATGTAGTTTGCCCACGCATTGTAAACGGTAAACACCGCTGAGGAAGTCTTTTTAAGATAACGATAGGAAAGAAGGGTTTAAGTGATGGTGAACAGGAACAGTCATTTAAAATGTGTTCCGGCTAAAGTGAATGTTAAGTGCCTTTCGATTTCACTGGAAAAGGCCTAAAGAAATACCAGACTTCTAGGGGTCTTCTTGTTCAGTTACTTATTTCTTCTTGTGTATTGTAAGTCAATCTTTTTAAAAGGGTAAAGCTTAGCAGGTGCCGATGAGACAAACATTTCTTGCTGCAATTTGCCGGGAAAGTCGACTACTGTTCATTGGACTGCGCTGCAAAAAAGACGACAACAAATATAACACGAAGTGGAATGCAGCAAACATTGTAGAACTGGTCTGTTCCCCATATTCGCTCCGTGGATTACAACAACAATCAATATATTTGTCAGCAGTCAACATTTTCCTCTCCATCAGAGCATTTCTTGAGAATTCTCCTACTCTTGTTGCCCTTGATAAGCAATCCTCCCTCCATCCGCCGTCCAAACTCATGTAAAGTTGTCTGGAAACAACTGATCTGTTGGTTGGTCTTGTTAGTGCCGTAAATGGTGTTTTGGAGAAATTAATTTCAGTGTCATTCAAGGACATTTTGGAATACAAAGGTAGAATAATTTCAAATTAATAATAATTTTAAGTGATTCTCTATCCGTGTTAAAGAATCATCTGTTACTACGAACTGAAATTGATAGTGATAATCTAAGCCTGTTATCCACTGGAGCTCCCTGTGGTAAAATTTCTATATCTTTTGAGTGAATAGGCAGTTTGCATTTTCATTTTGAATAGATAAACCCTGCTGCGAAATCAGCGAAATTTTCTGAGCAAATGTTATCA